ACTGTAGAATACAAAACTACAAACAATCGCAGACCCCTACCTAGAAGAAAAATACAAAGCAAAACAACTGAGATATTTAGTCCTCATTTGCAGCAAATTCTGCCTTGGCAGTAGAAACTACTTGTTGCAACAGTAAATAACTGAAGTACAACACGCTAGTTGGCTACATTCGAAGTCTTAAATAGTCTGTTTGATTCAGCACAAGCAAATAAATAGCGTGTCCTCATAATCACAAGACAATACATAGCTAAAGAAAGAAAAATAGTAGTATGAAACAACTAACATGACCATGGTGCGTCTTCAAGCCACGATCCTCCACTCTGCAGTTCCCATCTATTAGCATGGTCTTAATTGGAACCTGCGTCGGGAAGATCATAAAACAGGCACGTAAGAAATGCATTTCGATCCAAAAAAAAAAAAAATGCAAGAATGCAGATGAATACTAAACATGCATGTGACGTAATCTAGTCATTCCTGCATAGTTATATCTTATATGAATATGCTACAACGTCAGTCGAACACAAAACACAACACCAAAAATTGAAATTACTGTAGTAAATCACACAACACCTACTTGATTATCCTGAGGCTTCTTCTTATAATACGCAAGCAACCGAGATTCAAGCACGAAGTACCGCATATGAATGAAGGACCTGCCGATCTTCCGCCGGCCATACCGCACCATCCAACCTTCATACACAACCTTCGATGACATACCTTTGCCAGCAAACCTGATTCGTGCCAGATCAATTCCTTCCACAGGTTAATAAAAATGAATATAGGAAATAATCAGATAGAGTATGCACAGTCTTGCAGATTCGGAAGCTCAGAAAACAATCCTTGCTTCCACAATATCAGTGACAGCTTAAGTGACTTGATCGGTCATCGCAACGCCGAGAATTGCAAAGGTAAGCAATCGAAAACGCAGATTCAGTCGTCCGGCATGGAAAGGACAAGAACTTTGAAAATTCTCAACCTCGATTCCAAATTCCTCACAAATTCACTTTTGGAAATTGTCTTACCAGTAAAGACAACAAATCAAATCATTCTCCCTTACAAAGAGAGAGAGATAAATTCAAAGGACGGAATAAAAGAAAATTGACTTTCAAAGAGGAACTGTAGGGCGGTCCGACGAGCGGTCGGAGCACCGGGATCGGAGAAACGGCGACATCTCGAAAGTGGTGGGGAGAGAGAGAGAGAGAGAGAGAGAGATCGGACGATTGGGAATGCGAGTAAAGATTCTGATGGAATGAGGGCGAGGGATCCCACGTAAGTGGAAAAAAGGGAAGGGGTGATGGGAGTAAGACTGACACGTGGAGGAATCCGATTGGACGGTGACGGAGATAAAGGGTGATGATAACAGGGACTTGGCGCCGTGACGAAATCCAAATATTTTTAAATCGAGGTGGCGACGGGTGAGGGGGTTAACTTTTGTAAGATGCATCTCGGTTGTTGTGGGCCCGCTTAGACACAAACAAATACAAATTTTGTGTTATATTAAAATAAAATAAAATAAATTTGAAAAAGACTTTCTCAGGAAGCCCCGGCAATCAAGGGAAAAAAAAGTCCACTATATTTGAAATGACTGAAACACCCTCCTTGAACCCTCCTATATGTCGCTTAGTTGTTGTCCGAGAAGGGCATTTTGGACATGATGAATATTTTATGCCTCGTTGTGTATCGCCTGCCTCGCACGTGCAGCGTCGGTTATGAAATTGGAACATTTTAGGGTAAATAATAACATTAGGGAAGATAAGTCATTGGTGACTAATTTCAAAACAAATTATAACATAAATAATATATTTTTTAAATTCAAAAAGAAAAAAAATATATTTTTTAAATTAAAAGTAATAATAGCTTACCATACGTATTTTCAATCAGAAGTCAGACGTGTCATGAATTAAAAAAAATATTATTTAAATAATTTTTGCTATTTAAATCTAATAATTTAAAAAAAAAATAAACTTTCAATTGGACAGTGATAAGAATTTAGTTTCGATTTTAAATTTTTTTTATTTAGAGTTTCATCTAATTAGTTGTTATATTTTTAAAATATTATATTTGGTATTTACATTTTTTTTTTTTAAGATATTATCGAGTTACTTCATATGCTTCAATTTTGTAACGAGAAGATACAAACATGTCATTTTTTGGTATTAATATTATGACTAATTTAGGTAGATTTAGGTGGCCTAATTTATCAAATTTAATTGTAATTGCGTGGTGAATGAGCCATTAATCAATTTTAGACTATTTTGACTTAATTTATAAATAAGGTAAATGTTATTATTTCAATCCACTCTAAGCATTAAATGATAGAAAGTGGTGAGGGACTGAAATTAAATTAAATGTAAATTTAGTTTCAATATTGAGGGACTCAAATGCAATTAAACACAACATTTGGGGCCAAATATATATATATATTAATTACATATTGAATTTTTTTTAATTCATAATTTATGAGGGGAGATTCGAACCTCAAAATCAATATTCAAATATTCAAAGGGGTGATTTTTTTTTATTATTATTATAAATGCTTAAATGCAAATTAAATAATTTAATAATCTGGAGTGAAAATTAATTTGACTTTAAAAAATTATATGGACTTATGAATCTGTCAAGGCGTTATACCGGAAGGAACCAAATTTTGACGGCTTCCGTGAAAGTATAAATACACCTATTTAATTTTATTTTATTAATTCAAGAGTTTTGGAGAATTTCCAATTCCTATCTAATTTAGATATTTTATAATTAATTTTATAATTTTTCTTAATAAATTATTGTTTATTTTTTTAAAATATTTGGATGTCGAGGATTATTGGGAGTAAGTCCGACGTTGGTTAATTTAGTGGAAGATCATGGGTTTATAAATGAGGAATCACGACTCTCCACAATGGTATGATATTGTTCACTTTGAGCATAAGCTCTTGTGACTTTGCTTTGAGATTCCCCAAAAAGCCTCATTTCAACGAACATACCATGTTAATAGAATTCTCAAATATCGAACAAAGAATTGTGAGTTTCGAAAGTGTAGTCAAAAGTGACTAAAGTGTCAAACAAATGGTGGAGTCAACCCTCGATTAAGGGGAGGATTGAACATTATCATACCATTGTGGAGAGTCGTGATTCCTAACATTGGGTGTATGGTGAAAATATTATTGTCGTTTTTGCTCATGAATATAATCAGAATTTAAACCACGTAGTCTATAAATTTAATAACAGATTTATTAAAACTTGAATTATTACAGACTTCAGTCGATATCTTTTGGTTATGATAACAATGTTGATCACTGATTCAATTGATATTCAAATTATCATATCTTGCTACTAGAGAATCGAAAGAGCATACTCGACTCTTTTATTTTACTATGTTATCTACCTCCCTCATGATACAATATTATATAGTTGTGACACTCTCACTTTTAATATTATATACCATATTAAGAGTTCATCAAAATCTAAAAATAAAGTTAAAATATGTCGGAGGTATTTTAATTTTACAGAGTTCAAAATTGATTTAATTTTATAATTTTAAGAAAATTGAAGGAAATTTGTATTAATTTAATATATTTCTATACTATGTTATAAATAATAATTATGTGATTTGATATAAAAGTTATAAAGAAAAAATATAAAACTTTTTCCTTTTAAAACCAACACGATCGTGACATAAAGTGATTGATACTCTACCAACTTCATTGTCGCCAGTTCCTAACTTCACATTATATTCATGATATAATATTTTCCCAAAAAAAAAAAAAAAACAAAAAAAATCAGTTCCGACTTTATAGTAAAACAATAATACGTGTGTTACCTTTTTAATCCACGATTCACACGATAAATTTACCTAATATAATATATTTATACCACTTATCACAATTTCAATGAATAAGTTAGTTACGGAAATTTGGATTTCGCAGACAATGTCTGCGTATGCTTGAGCCTCAAGTCACATTTGAGATAAATGTTTTAGAAAATGTGAGTCAGAAAATACGTTAAAAACAATTTAAAAGAAAGTAATGTTATAAGCTAAAAGCGAGTAAGCAACAACGACTTATAATAACATATAACTCGAAAGAAAGAAAAAAAAAATACAGAAAAGCTTATAAATTTTCAATATATATATATATATATATATATATATCGGCTCTCTTAGGGTTCCCTCATCTGGGATCCCTGGGGAAGAGGATCAAGTTGGCCCTTGCGAACAGCTTGATGCACTATCTCCCTTCAACCCTTTGAGCGAAATGCGGCAAAAGGAAGGAAAATCCATGGACCGACCCCATCGTCTCCACCCCGTAGGAACTACGAGATCACCCCAAGGACGCCTTCGATATCCAGGGGTCGCGGACCGACCATAGAACCCTGTTCAATAAGTGGAACGCATTAGCTATCCGCTATCCGGTTGGGCAGTAAGGGTCGGAGAAGTGCAATCACTCATTCTTAAAACCAGCATTCTTAAGACCAAAGAGGCGGGCGGAAAAGGGGGGAAACCTCTCCGTTCCTGGTTCTCCTGTAGCTGGATTCTCCGGAACCACAAGAATCCTTAGTTAGAATGGGATTCCAACTCAGTACCTTTTGAGATTTTGAGAAGAGTTGCTCTTTGGAGAGCACAGTACGATGAAAGTTGTAAGCTGTGTTCGGATATATATATATATATTTATTTATTTTTGAATTATTAGTTAAATTTGCAGAGATGTCTAGGGATTGAAGCGGGGACGGGAAAACCTTTGCATCTCCATACTCGTCTTATTTTATTTTCATCTTGTATTTATTATTGTGGGGATTGGAACGAGGATTCCGAGAATGCACAAAGAGATCGGGTTTTCCATAATAAAAATATATCATGTTTTTTTTAATGATTTTTTTTTTTGGGTCTAATTTATATAATTTTCTATTATAGAAATGTTAAAAAAAAAAACTAATAAAATGTTTATGAACAATATATATATATATATATATATATATATATATATATATATTCTAACACCATAATTTAAATTAAAGACTAAAATATGTGTCGACTGAAAAACAAACTCTCGAACTCTGGATCAAACAATTAGAAGTTTGAAACTAATCCTCTGACCGAAGAACAAAAATTAGTTAAGTTTGGGAAGGAACGGCACAGCGAGGAATCAGATCTCCGCCTTGCCGCCATCGTCAACGCCACTTTCCACACCCGACTCTCTCTCTCTCTCTTCCTTTGCCAAAGCCTTTCTCGGGGTTCGTTAAAGCGCTGTTTCTTCTGCAACAAACACGGCCTCGCATGGTGGGATCGTCCTTCAATCTCCTTATTATGCAATCGTGAGTGCTTTCCACTTATCATTACCACTTGATTCTTTCATCATTTTCGTTTCTCGACATCGCTTTTTTTCCATTTATACTTGATTTCCACCATCACAAATATGGAATCTCTCTTCGTTATTTTTTTGTTTCTGCTTTGACCGCGGCTGTTTCGTTATTTGAGCTACTCGATTTGGTTCTATGTTACTTTTGATCTTCTCATCTCAGCCTTGGATCTGTTTTTTTTTTCCTGTTCTCATCATTGCGATATTGAAGGTTTCTTTCAATCGTTTGATTTTGACCAAATAGGTGGAAGATTGAAGAGCTGTGATCTTTTTGAAGAAGAATTAATTTCTTAAGCGTTTCTTATTTTACCTTCAATCCGCTATGATTATTGGATTAGGAAGAGTTTTCTCAGTCTTCTTCCTCAATTTTTAGCTTCAATAATGCGCTTCTTTTCGTGCTCTGTGTTCTTACTGTCCCATGCGAGAATTATTAGTACTTTAACTTGCTTTCATGAAGTCTTTCACGAATCATATAAAAGATTTGAGGAAGTTTTTGTGTTGATTTACTTACTGGAAGTGCTTTTTGAGGGAGACAGAACGTGTTTAGCTGGTAGAAGAGGAGAATTCGTCACAAAATTGAAGAAGTCGGAGAAATAGAGTTGTAAAAGTGCTTTGAAGTTATGGGATCTTTTAAGGGTCATGTTCTTCCGGGGACGCTGTTTCTTTTCGTTGGTGTTTGGCACGTGTGGAGTGCTCTGCTTCGGTACGTGTCAAATCCCAACTTATTTCGCGTTCATGTGTGGAATCCAGTGCCTGGCTTTGATGGAAAACTCAAATACTTGGAACTTTATGTTGTTGTCATTGGGGGTTTCATTGATTTGTGCATTGAGCTTTTGTATGCAACTCACCTCAAGTTCTTTGTCAATGGGGTTTTGAACCCTTCACATCTGAACAATTTTGAACACTCGGGGATGCTTCTCATGTTCTTCATTTTTGGAGTCATCTCTCTGCTTTCTGAAAAGTCGAGGTAATTCACTCTTGTTTCTTGATTGATCCTTTTCAGCACGGTAATAATTTAAAAGTTTAGACAATTATCGGATTGTATAACTTCTTTATTAAGATCAGTTGGGTTTAGATAATTTAGTTACTTTAGTTAAGTTAGTTTGGTTGGTTCTTTCCCAGTACTGAAGTATTTTATATTTTGCCTTCCATACAATAGTAAGCCACTGGTTGAATTACTATCTTTCAAATCCACTGAGTGGTGCTAATAGTTAAATAAGTGCAAAAGATAAAACATAATCTAACTTCAGTTAAGTTTTTGAGTGGAGTGGTAGTTCAATAGAAATATAACGGGATATAAGCTATAACCAGATAAGATATCAAACTGATGGTTGAAAATATCAGAATTTTCTTTTCGGAAGGAGCTCAAATCTTGCCTTTGCATAGTTTGTTTACGTTTGAACTTCAGTAAAATGAAGAAGTCATCATGGATACAAGGCGAAGATACCGAGATTTAGGTCCTCGAAGTATTGGTTCCTACTTGTGGCTTTCTTTGCAGTTTTCATATCATCATCGTAGCATCTTAGAACATGTGTATGAGAAGCAATTGATATGAGGTTATAACTTGATCATATAAGATGGAAGTTCTAGGGTTAGAGCACTAGCGGTTTCTTGAACATATGTCATATTTCGGACGGACATTAATGTTCTTGCTCCCCAATTTCTAGTTAGTTCAGAATTTGAAGTAAACTGTGGACAAATGAGTGTGATTATATAAATGAGTGAGATCTCACAACGGTTGGGGAGGAGAACGAATCATTCTTTATAAAGGTGTGGAAACCTTTTTCTAGCTGACGCGTTTTAAAAACTTTGAGTGGAAGCCTAAAAGGGAAAGTCCAAAGAGGACAATTGGGCTGTTACAAATGGTATCAGAGCCAAACACCGGGCGATGTGCCAGCGAAGAGGCTGAGTTCCGAAGGGGGTGGACATAAGGTGGTGTGTTAGCAAGGATGCTGGGCTCCAAAGGAGGGTGGATTGGAAGGTCTCACATCGATTAGAGAAAGGAACAAGTGTTAGCGAGGAAAAGAACGAAGCATTATTTATAAGAGTATGAAAACCTCTCTCTAGCTGCGCATTTTAAAAACTTTGAAAGGAAAGCCTAAAGAGGACAATATCTGCTAGTGATGGGCTTGGGCGGTTACACTCACGGTCATAATCAAATAAGGTTAGATAATTAAAATGGAAGCTTAAAGCAATGCCTTGTGGACCCCCAAATCTTTTAATCCAGAATTCAAATCTTGAATTGAGCTGTTAATTTAACTATCTTTTATCTGTTTTTAAATACTCGTGCAGTTTATCCTTTAGTCTGTCTTAATCACTAGTTTTTGCTGGAAGAGGTGATTATTCGACTCTCACATCTTTCTCTTCAGATTTGTTCGCCTACCAGACGAAGCGCTTTGTCTGATTGCTGCTGCGGCATTCTGCGCCGAGTATCTGTTGTTTTACTTTCATTCAACTTCTCATAAAGGCCTTGAAGGTTACTACCATATTCTCCTTGTCATCTTGATAGGGCTCTGCATATTGTCAACGGTTGCTGGAGCTATTTTACCTACCAGCTTCCCGGTTGACGTGTGCAGCGGCATCGCCATCACCCTTCAAGGCCTTTGGTTTTATCAGACAGCCTTCACTCTGTATGGTCCAATGATGCCTGATGGTTGCGAGCTGAAGGACGACATGATGGTCATGTGTCATTCGAAAGATAGCGAGGTTCGAGGTGAATTCCTTGCAAATTTCCAGCTCTTTTCTATGGTCCTTGGAGTTCTTGGCGGAGTCGTTGGAGTTTACTACTTTGCAGCGGCGAAGTACAGATGTTCCGAGCTCAGGAGTTCGAATGCCATCAATGCTCAAGACTAGATTATTCCGGGTATGTCAGCATCAAAATTTTCATTTTTTCTTTTTGGTAGTGTTCTCTAGGCAATATCTTGTTTTGTTTATTACATAGAACTCCTCGTAGCTTCCGTTAGAAATTCATGCCATACCACAAGTTTCTTATAAAATACAACTTGAAGAACGATTACCCACACATAGACTCATTATGCTGAAAGATTATGTTTTGGAGTGCTTTTGATTGTCAAAAACACTTCTCTCTCGAAATCATTATGTTTGGGAGTACATTAAAGTGCTTTTCGAGAGTTAAAACTGCTTTTGGCACAAATTCTCGACTTCAGAACACTTCGAATAGGCTTTTAGGAACACAAAACCAATGATTTGTTATTAAACACTCTTTACTTAACTGCTTAGGATTAAAATACTTTTACTAGAAGCACTTTTTCCTAGAGCACTCTTATGAGACTAACAAATTGAAGTTACTAATTGTCACTCATCCAAGTTTAGGGTTAAACTTTTAATGAAAATGAAAGTTTAAGATTAAGATTAATTCATTAGTAAATAAGAGAAGATTTTGAGGCCAACAGTTCTGTTCTGTATGCTCATTCTCCAATGATTTTCCATGATCTTGTTGCATAAGTTTTTTCTGTGTAATCATGTGACTCTGCCAAAGATGGTCTTATTTTATTCTTTTGGGTAAACTATGATTGAAAATTGTTGCCTTTTTGGGGAAACTTTCCAATTGCTATGATTCCGTTCTAACATAGTTCACCTTAGCGACAATATTTTGTCAACTTAAATATATTTTAACCGGTTTAGACATTTCTATGTTCTAATCTCCATCTCTCGTTCTTGATTTCTTAATAAACAAAATGGTCGGCTCATGACTTTAAGTTTCATGTTAATGATGAAAGTTTCACATTTGGCTAATTTAGGGAGTACTATCTCTATATCCATTGGAACAAGGTCTTTTGGGGAAGCCCAAAGCAAAGTCATGAAAGCTTATGCTCAAAGTAGGCAATCTCATACCATTGTGGAGAGTCGTGTTCATCTAACATGGTATTAGAGTCATGCCCTAAACTTAGTTGCGGCAATAGATTGGTAAATCCTCAAATGTCGAACAAAGGACTCCAAAAAGAAAAGGAGTTGAGTCTCCTCGAAGGTATAGTAAAAAATGACTAAGACTCCAAAAGAAAAAGGGGTCGAGTCTCGATTAAGGAGAGACGTACTTTGTTCGAGGGGAGGTGTTGGATGATGAAAGTCACACATCTGACTAATTTAAGAAATGATCATGAGTTTATAATAAATGAATACTATCTCTATCTCCATTGGAATGAGGCATTTTGGGGAAGTCTAAAACAAAGCGATGAGAGCTTATGTTCAAAGTGAAATCATACCATTACAAAGAGTCGTGTTTATCTAACAATGTCAACTATTTTAAAAAGTATTTAATCGGTCTTTCAACTTCTAAAACTTATTAAATAAGTTTATTGAATTTTCAATTTTGTGTTTTAACAAGTTTGAAAATTTTCAATTTTGTTTCGGATGGACCTATTCAACATATTTTTAAAATTCATGAACAGTTTATTTTTTTAAAGTTCAAATTTAATAGATTTATTGTTTTTTTTCATAATTATGGTGGGTTTACCATTTTTCTCCTCATCTCTCTCTTTCTCTTTTAAAAGATTTATGTAATTACAATAATCTAGTTTTCTTTAATTAAAATGTAGAGTTATATTATCGTTGTCTAAATAAAATTATTCTTTTCATTTATCCATACTTAATTACGTTTAATGTGTACAATTTTCTGATTTTAAGATAAGAAAAAGTATATATTTTATCTTTAAATTAACAATGGAATGGTGTTTTATTTTGAATTTATTGAAATAAAGCGAATAATATTTAATTTTAAATTAGATACAAATTATGCAAGAAAAATAAAAAAGTACATGTATGATATTAATTTAGAACTTATTTATATTAAAATAACATAAATATATAGTTTTTTATTTAATTAAATTAAAATTACAAAAAAAAAAAAAAAAAAAAACCCCTTGTAAATTTTTCTCTATGTTTTTGTAAAATATAAAATAGTTTTTTTAAAAAAATCCTTACAAAAAAAAAACAGTATTTATAAGTTTAATTTTTATAAACAAAAAATAAAATTTAAAAACGCGATTTTGTTTTTAAAATTTAGTTTATAATTTAAATATGTTCGTAAAGAATGTATTTTTAAAATAGAAAATTAAAATGTAATATTAATGCTCTTGGTTCCATCTTTTTTTCTTAACACGTGGGGGAACCTCATTGGTTCGCCAGATGCTTTCCGAGTCCAAGCAATCTTGCCGCCAATTTTAAGCAAATTTTTTCATTACCAAAAACCTTATCCTCTTTCAATGGCCACATCCATGGCGTCCGTCTTTGCTTCACGCAGTGAAGACGAAATGTAAGAGCCGAGCCGACTGTGTTTCAATTTCAGAGACAAATCCTAATGGCCGCCATTACCGGATCGCTCAACCTTCCTCTTGCGCCTTCAAAGCTTCCATCACTTCACATTACGGTACTCTTCTCACTTCTCCTCGCGATTGCGATTTTCTTCTCGCTACTTCTGAGTTCTGTAGAAAACTTTCCAACTATAACTACTTTGAATTTTACTGAACGGACGTAAGATGATGGATTCTTTAATCTCAACTGTTCATCAATCGATTTTTCCTAAGTTTGTTAATCGTCAATAGGTTTCGCTAACATTAAGAATTAGGTTTTAGGATTGATACTTGAAAAAACCTAGAAATCCATTTTGAAACGGAAGGAAAGTGAGGGATTCTTTAATCTGAACTATTCATCACTCGATTTTCCATAAGTTCATAAATCCACAGCCAGTTTCGTAACATTAGGAGTCAGGATTTAAGTTGATACTTGTAAAACCTAGAGCGAATTCATCGATCCATTTCGATTTCAGTTAAGACGTGTGGAGTGATTCAATTACCGATTACGAGACGAATTTCTGTTTGTTCTGCAGAGAAAGTATAAGTTATCGATCCAATCAAAAAGCCACAAAAGGAACTATTTCTCACTTTTGAGACCAAGCCTTTACCAAAACCAAACTCGCACGAACCACACCTTGATTGTAAACGCGACATTGAGAAGTCCAAAAGGATTCGGACCAGCTCCAAGGAAGAAAAAGAAGAAGAAGAAGAAAACAGAAGGAGGAGGAGACGGAGAAGAAGAAAGTGAGGATGAGGAAGATGAGGAAGAAGAGGAGGAAGATCGTGGTGTGATACCAGAAGTAGTGACGAACAGGATGATCAGTAGGATGGGATTTTCAGTGGGGATTCCATTGTTGATAGGACTTTTGTTCTTCCCATTCTTCTATTACCTGAAAGTTGTGCTGAAAATCGATGTGCCCTCATGGGTGCCAGTCATAGTATCCTTCTTCTTCTTTGGTTCTGCTCTCTTGGGAGTGAGCTATGGCATTGTGTCCTCTAGTTGGGATCCCATGAGGGAAGGTTCTCTTTTGGGTTGGAATGAAGCTCAGAAAAATTGGCCTGTTTTTTGGCAGTCCATTTGGAGTGGTGGATCTAATAAGAAATAAATGATTTCTCTTTTTAATGAGAAATATTATATTTTTTCTTCCTATAAATGTTATTTGAGAAGGAAACTTATTACAGTTGTTGAATTAGTTTTTTGTTTTGTTGATTGTTTTAGATTACAAGTTTGGTTCTTGGACTTTTAAGGATGTATCTTGAAAGCCCGTAAACCATAAGAAAAACGGCGGATAGGTTTGTGATTTTATGTTTAATAGCTTTTTGAACTATAAAAACTATATAAACCGAAATTTTTATGTTTAAGAGCACTCTTATCTAGCTCATCACACTTTCTTTTAATAAAAGAAAAAAAGCTCATGGATTTGTTATAGTTCTTAATAGAAACTTCATCTTTCCATTTTATTCTAATAGGGTCATCAATCCTTAAACCCGTGTGATGTCTCACATTCATTGGGAGCAGAACAAATCACCCTTTATAAGGGTGTGTAAACCTTCTCTTAACAGACTTGTTTTAAATTTTTGAGGGGAAGACCGTGAGAGAAAGACCAAATAAGACAACATCTGCTAGCGGTGGGCCTAGGTCGTTATAAATGGTATTAGAGCTAGACATCGGACAATGTGTCAATCTTCTCGTTGTTCCCCGAAAGGGGTAGACACGAGGTGGTGTTCTAGTAAGGACGCTGGCCCCAAAGAGGGGTGGATTTAGCGAGGGTCCCACATTGATTGGAGAAAGGTACGAGTGCCAGCAAGGATGCTGAGCCTCGAAGGGAGGTGGATTGTGATGACCCACATTGGTTGGGGAGAAGAACAAACCACCCTTTATAAGGGTGTGAAAACCTTTCTCTAGTATATGAGTTTTAAAGCCTTCAGGGTAACCGCGTAAGGGAAAGCTCAAAGAAGACAATATTTGCTAACGGTGAGCCTGGGTCGTTACAATCTGTCATATAGAAGAGAGATTTTTTAGATATAAAATTGAAAGATGGGTAGACTATTGAATCCTAAGATGGTGTCCTATTTGTGATAATCCTAAAAAAAATAATTGTTAGAAATATTTTGAAAGAGAATTTTATTAGGTAAAATACCATTTTGATTATTAATAGAATTTTGAACTTAAGCTTTGAGATTTTTTTTTTTTTTTTTTTTTAAAAAAAACACATTTGATCATGGAAATTTGACTTGGAAAAATCAAATTCAAACTTTGAAAACTAGACAGATTATTTTTGAAATCATGGTCCAAATAAAAATTACATTAAATTAAATTGATATGTATATAAAAATCAATTTTCAAACTTAATGAACAAGCAACTTTTTAACTTTAAAATTCAAATAAAAGTTAAATTCAAATCTTAATTAGAAATTAAACTCCATCTTATTTTAAAATAATTTCACAAATTTATATAGTTTTTATGTATTTTTTTTTTTTAATTATCAACATCAAAATTTTAACCATATTTCCATCACGAGTTGTAAATTGAAAAATTAATTTGTTGGCCGTTATCTACTTGCTACATTTTAAACCTTTAGTAACAAAATTATTGAAAATATACAAAAGTGAAATAGATTTCTAATTCAAAAGATTTTTTGAATTCTATAATTTTCAATGTAAAATCTCGTTTTTTTAATTGATACAATTTTCTTTAAATTTGTAATAATTTAGTTGCATGTAAAAACCATCTAAATTAAATATTAATTTTTTATTATTTGATTCCTTAATAATTTATTTATTTGGTTAATATAATTTTTATCATTATAAAATTGAAATTAAATTATTACAAATTAACTAGATAATTCTTTATTTTTTTTTTAGGTCTTTTTAACTAATTTATCCTTAGAATCTCTTATACTTGGACGTGCTATTACTTTATTGATGTACTTCTCTTTTACTCGAACGCACAAAATAATTAGTTTTATAAGTATTTTTTAAAATAGGGTAAAATACGTGTAATTTAATGGAGTTTGAAAGTAAAAACAAAATGGATTTAGTTTGGCGTGATGGGATGGGATGGAAAGTGGGCCCAAAAGTTAGCCTTGGATCATCGTGCAATCCTGACTTGTAAATCATTCTACACATCATACGCTTCCTTTCTATTTCATTATCTCTTCTTCTCATCTTTAAATTTACCCCTCGGTTAAAACTACCAATTTACCCTACATTATTTTCACTTCTTTTTTTTTTTTTAATTTAATTGCGTTTACTCCTTTTGTATTAAAAGTCTAACAGTAAATTAAATTTTACTCTCAAATTGTTAAATTTTACGGTAATACAATCGCATTCAACCGGTTGGATGACCCTTTTAATAAATTGAAACAAGGTTGAATGAAGCATTCAACCGGTTGTTGAGAATTATTAGGAGTGAGTTCGGTTAATTTAGTGGAAGATCATAGGTTTATAAGTAAAAAATACTATCTTAATTGATATGAGACATTTTAGAGACAAATCAAAGCTATGAGAGTTTATGGTCAAAGTGGATTGATATGAGTTCTATGATTCCTAACATATTTAACAATAATTTAAATCGAGATTGTTGTATTTAGTGTTTCATTGCGTCGTGTTAAAAAAATATTATTAAATAGAAACTTTTAAAGCTAAAAAAACCATTTTCTGAAAACCAATATTTTAATTTATTTATATTTATTTTGGTATTAATATTATTATTTGAATGATAATTACAAGTCCAAGTTGGTGGATTGTTTGCCTTTTGCTTAATGGGCCACGGGCGAATGGTTTTCTAATTTCTGGAATAAATTTATTAATTTCTTTATTTTCTTTTTTAATTGTACGGATGAGTGTTTAAAGCTTTGCATATCCCACGCAGCTCTGTTCACAAGTCATTCTGTGCTCTTCTTTTTATATAACGGGAACATAACATTTATTATTATTTTTTTTATTTTAAATTTAAATTATATAATTACTTTCATCTTCAAATTATCTATTTATGAACTTTATAAACAAATATATTTTACAAAATTTCTTGTTGCACCTATAATTCCGTCAAAATTATTTGTAAATTTTGCAATAACAAAAAGGCTTTATATGGAAAAATAAAATGAAAAATAAATAAATTTGTTTGTGTGAATAAATGTTAAATTATAAATTTAGTTTTTGTATTTTTGTTATATCTATATAGTTTTTAAATTTGTAAATTTTTTACTATCATGTTTTTTAAATTTAAATTATAATCTTTTGGACTTTTAGTCAGAACATAAACTCTAACGACCCAGATTTATCGTTAGCAGATATTGTCTTATCTAGGCTTTCCTTTTCGGGTTTTCCCTCAATGTTTTAAAACGCGTCTGCGGTGAAGGTTTCCACACTCTTATGATTCTATTGACGAATGGGGGGTGCATCTAGGTCGTTACAAATGATATCAGGGCCAAACAGCGAACGATGTGTCAACCTTCTCGCTGTTACTCGAAGAGGGGTAGACACGAGGCGATGTGCTAGTAAGGACGTATGGGCCCCAAAGGGGATGAATTTGGGGCGGTCCCACATCGATTGGAGGAAGAAAATAGTGTCAACGAGGACGCTAGGCCCCAAGGGGGGTGGATTGTGATGTCCTATATTGGTTGGGGAGGGGAACAAACCACCATTTATAAGGGTGTGAAAACCTTCCTCTAGTAAACACATTTTGAAGTCTTGAAGGGAAACCTGAAAAGAAAAGCCCAAAAAGGACAATATCTACTGGCGATGGATCTGGACCGTTACATAAACATTAATCACTCGACTCATAAATTATCAGTATTATTGCAGCTGTAAAATATGATGTGAAAATTAGTTTATTGATAAATGTAGATACCGAAAAAAATTAGAAACGAGAATAAAACACTAATTATCATTGTCTAAACCCCACAATTAGTAAACTAAAAAAAAAAAAAAAAAAACAGACACATTTCTTAATTTGAAATAAAAAATTAATGACAATATGACAAAATAATCAAACATAAGACCAACACAACAAATAAAACAATTAAAAGAGACAACAAAAAAACAAATCTTGACAAATGAGAAGCTACAACATGTCATTTCAAAAACCCCAATGCCAAATAAGTCAAATAGTTTAGTCACAAATAAAACAAAAAAATTATTTACTTAAACTTTATAATATTTATTATTAATATGATAAATATGAAATGTAACATTACATTACCCTAAAATTTTAATTTAATTATAGAATATGTTTTTAAAAATCATTCAATCTACCCAATTTAGGTAATGAAAAATACACGAAATTAAACAAATATTTTTGTAAATATTTAAATGATACCCGACGATTTAGATGTAGATTTCTAATAGATATTGTAACACAGTCCAACGTTTTTTTCATTGCAGAAGAGAAATCCCTCCCCTAATCGCTAGAAAATCACGGAAGGGAAAGTGAAGAAATCTAATACCAAACTATTACACAACCCGACTCAGCGTAGTATAGAATTCTTTATAACAACCAATACACGCTTCAAAAAACGGCACAAATTCTCGTAAGCTGCTCGAGAAAATTAAAGACCGAGTTACTACTTAAATTGACAAAAAAAAAAAAACTTAGCGTTATATTTTTATTGGATATTCATAAAATATTTTATAAATAATTATGTGACTTTTATTTCGAGTGGAACAAACAAATGAATAAATGAAAATAAAACTATGAAATAATGGGATTATTACCAATAATAATTAAAAAATAAAGTCAAATAATAATTAATGAAAAAGATTTGTAGTATTAGTGGGAAGAAATAAAATAAAAAAATCAAATCAAAATTGTTTTTTTTTTTTTTTTAATGATAAAAGTGGATATTCTTTATATACAACTAACTATAAGATATGGTTGTGCCTGTAACTATCAAATGCAACAAATATCTAACCTTTTTTTTTTTTTTTAATTTATAGAGTTCCATTTTGGCTTATTTTTATTTTCAATTCAAAATAAATTATATTTTAAATATATGCTCTAGAAAAACTAATTTTTACCACAAAAAAAAAAAATTTACCCATATTTACTTTTTACCTTTTTTTCGTTCAATAGAATTTTTTTTTTTTCTGGGAATCAAACATTAATGGTGCGCTTTAAAATTATGAGACTAATGGTAACAAATAAGAGTGGACAATATCCTTCCGGATGAGCTTGATTTAATATTAAAAATTATTAAAAATTAC